TGGAAATCTACCTGAGTGAGCTGGAAATTCCTGAAGGTAGCCAGAATATGACCAGAAGTCAATGCCACACCACAGTGACCAGCATGAGATCTTCTCAGTAAATAGGTGGGAAAACCAAGACCAGAGCAAAAAAAACTCCGAAAAAGCTATCCTTGAAGCAGAATGCTGTCTGACTGGTAGCTGGGGGCACAGCAATAGAGAATGGTTTCTGCTCCTCTCAGAGGTAGTAACCACCTAGAGGATGATCCTTCAAGACCACAGTCAGCTACATCTAGCAGGTCTCCTCACCTCTTCAGCCTCATTCTTGTACTTTCACTCTTGGGGCCTCACTTCTTGAGAAGGGAGTGACTGTCTCTTTCCTCTGGGCTCTTTCCTTAAGCTCCAGATCTATTATAGGTGATGCCTTGGCTAGACCGTGAGCGTGGAGGGAAATTAGGATTTGGGTGCTCCATCTAACACTTTGACTCATCTTAGTTACTTAAGAATGTCCAGCGCACAGCTCAAGACCTGGCATAGGGTAGGAGGAGTTCAGCAGATGGATGAATGGAGGGTGGAAGGACAGGAAAAAGAGGGAGAAAGAGAGAGAGAGAGAGGCAGGGAAGCACAGAAGAAAGGATGTATGTATTATCAGACCCTTCAATTTGAATGTCCGCCTGTAGCTTCCACTGAACCCTTGTAGAACTAAAGCAGACCATTGTTTCCTAACTTCACCATTTCTCTCTCTATGTTCCCAGTCTTGAACCTTTAGTTTTTCTCTATCCTGTCTCAGAACCACCCCTAAACTTCCAGCCCTTGTTGGTATCGTGTGCTTTGCTGCAGTAGTCTGCAGACTGTGCTTTTCTGGTTCTATTCCTTCTGTCTCCTCACACCACTGCCAGACCAAGAGATGGTCCATCCAACTCTTTCACCCAGGAGCCCTGCTTCTAAAAGTCTATCATAAGCTAAGTGTTAGAGATGTGCACATAGACTTTTATTCAGAGGTATTCACCATAGTTTTATTGTATTATTTATTATAGTGAAATATTGAAGATGAGCTAAGCTTTGATTGAAAAATACTGTATCAAATAAACTTCAGTACAGCTACATGATGGAATAATATTGAACCTTTAGAAAATTATTTTAAGGACTATTTGATAACATGCAAAAAATGGACATAAAAGCAGGTTTTTTAGAAAGCTAGGTATAAAACTCTATGTACCGCATGTTTCCAACCTGTGAATAGGAGGGAACCATAAAATAGAAAATAAATAATTAATAAAATACTAGCATAGATATTATTTGGAATTGTTATTTTTAAAGCTCTTAATAGTTGTCTGTATTATTTGAATTATCTCTAATGAGCATGCATATTTAATATAAGTCATAAAGATGTGATACATGAATACACATCTTCAGTTTTATAATTCTTATTGCCATCAGTATAAATAGTGCTTTTAATGCCACATACCACCAGCTGTCCACTCCACTCCACGTTAGAGTGTAGTGAACATGAACCCAGCCCACTTCTAGCTCTTGTCTGCCTCTCCTGTGTCACACATTATCCTCCCAATAAACAGGTTCCCACAACTGGTGTTTCACACTCCGGAATCCAAGTTTCAGATGGTTCAGAAACGCACATACACACACACAGATGCATAAAGCTGGAGAAAGTGTTGATAGTCTTTGCTGAATCACTGTGAATGTTACAAATGCTCTTCTCTAGTTGTATATTTTAAAAATAAAAAGTTGGTGGAAATAAAGGAGGAGCTTGGCATACAGTTCAGAAGTATAGGTTCTGCTTACCTATGCCCTAGTATATGTCTGCTCTTTGGTCAGCAGTGAACATAAATGAGTGTCTCACTTTCCTGAAGCGTGGATTCTTTATCAGTGGGGATGATAAAATTCTTTGTTTATTTCCTAAAGTGTCCTAGAGAATGGAAGGAAAGTGTGAAAGGATTTATTGAAGAGTCTGGCACAGCATTGATCATTGGGAATTATTAGCATCAATTTTCAACAGAGAAATCAGACTTTTAGCATAAATCTGTTCATTATATTTTTAATCTTTCCTAGTTACTCTTAAGCCTGGGTAACTGAGTAAAGTGCTGTGGCTTTGGAATCTTTTGCTTATGCAATTCTCTTCCTGCCACTGACCCAGGAGCTACTAAAATACAGTTCCAAGTCCCACTGATATTCTTATCTCTGGGTCCTGGCTCACAGCCAGCATCGAGGAGGCAGCCAGTAAACACGTGAAAACCAAAATCAGGAACCTGAAAAGTTCAAGTAGGGCTGTAAAAAAAATTCTTTTTATCAGGTATGAACTTGTGATTTTGCTGAGGCGGCCACTGTGTCCCCGTGGGCTTCCTCTGGATAAAGCATCACCTTGATAAATTAGCTGTGGATATAGGCATCCTGCAGTTGGTGTGGAAATGCAATTTAATTTCCAATTAAGCCTGATTTCTGGGCCAGGGGATTTGCCTGCCTCACACTGGGAAGATTATTCTGGCCAGACCTGTTATTATGGATAATGATTCGCCCATGTTCTCTCAAGGATACTGGTCTTTTGACCCTTGAGATAGTTTGACAAGGCAAAGATGTGGTCCCGGTGGGCAGGGCTGGCTTTTCTTTGAGAACAAAGTTTAAACAAGCAGATTTAAAAAGCTGGAAGCAAAGAGAGGTAGCTGTAGATGGCAGAAAAAGTTTAAGGTAGGTCACGGCTAGACATGGTTTGAGAGAGAAAGAGAGAACCAAGATTGCCCTGGATCATACAAAAAAGAAGGTAGAAAGTTGCTAGTGAGAAAAATGTGACCATTTGGAGTCCTTGGAGATCCCAACAGAAAAGAATCTGTGTCATCAGTGGAAGGAGATCTCCTTGCTTGAAGAGATAACAAACATTTGTGGAGCATTTTTATGCACCAGGCATTGTACTGAGTACTTCCATTCAGTATTGCACTGAATCATCACAAGCGCCCTATAAAACAAATGAAGTTGCTCATTTTCCAATTAAAGAAAGACTCAGGAAGATTAAATAAACTGCCCAAGGTCATAGACAAGATAGACTTAACTCCAGCTTTTTGAGAGTGCTTCCCTACAGGGTCCCTGTCCAAGGACAAATATAAAAACATAGTTGAGGGCCATACAAAGTATGGCTTATTGAACTGAAATTTAGCTTCAATATTGAAAGAATGAGAAATAGTCCTTTAAAAGATGTTCTGAGAGAGAATAAGAATAAATAAGGACCAGCCTGGTTGATGTTGGAAATAAGCCCTCAGACTCAAATTGTCAGTGCTGGAAAGAACGTACTTAGACAGCAAACAAGAGGACTCAGCAAGACAAAGTTTAAAGTTTATTTCTGCACTTGGGTACAGGTACATCAGACAGGAGGCAGCTGGCATCCTGAGGAAGGGGTGGAATTTTTAAGGCCTAACTTCTTGTTTGGTTCACTCCTAGCTTCTCACAAGGAGGGAGATCTGAGAACTAGGAGCCATGGTCTAGAATGGCCAACAAACTTGCGTGAGATTAGGAGCTTCTTAGAGGGCACTGCTACTCCTTATCAGTGGGATTCTGCCTTGTGGCTGAGGGAATTTCAATGTCAAGAGTGACAAAGAACCAACAGAGGAGAGTAAAGGATAATGGCCAGCATAATCACATGAAATTTAAGCACCAAGTTGTTAGTTACATGGTCCAATTTTTCTAGTGATAGTGAGAGAAGATTCTAAAGTTATATTTAAATGAGTAGGCTGTCAATGCTTGGACAAATTTTAGAGTGGATTATTAAACCCATGCTTTGACCACATTGGGTAAAAAATGCAGGGATCTATGGGAGAGAGGAGGTGTCACTGAGAAAGAGTCATATCAGACCTTGTTCTTGTCTGCTGTTTAATAAGGTGGCCATTTGTGCAAGGGTTGCTGTGACTGGAGCCATGTCTTATTTCCAGGTGGGCATTGGATGGGCTGTGGGGTAGAGATCGTGGATCCAGGTGGATTTTAGCTGGGTCCTGTTTGTGTTGACAGTGCCCACGTTTCAGATACTTATGCTTGAGCTCACCCCATCTCTATTAACTTTTCAGAAGGGTAGCAAGGGAGGACCATTTGAGAGCTTTGCCTCTGTGAGAGGCTTATAGAGGCATCTAAAGTCTCTGAACATCTGACCTTAAACTTTTTACTTTTGATATGGAATAGAGACAGTGGACAAGCTTCCCTGTGATTAGAGAACCATACTAAAGTCTAAAACTGTACTGCTTAGAATTAAATCCCAGCTTGCTATTTACTAACTTCCAACCTAGGCAAGTTTAAGCCCTTCTCTGTGCTTCAGTCATCGCATCTATAAAGTGGAAATACTAATAATAACCTCAAAGGATGCTGCTGGTGTTAAGAGCCATCTATGGAAAGGCTTGGCCCAGGTCCCAGCATACAGGTGCCTAATAAATGTTAGTTTTTATTACATTAGAGATGAAAGAAAGTTCATGCATGGGAAGTGATTAGCTAAATATATCCAAAAGTGGAAGGGTTACATTTTGGTACAGTGATTTAGTCATCAAAGAGGTATTAACAAAGATTTTTGAGGACGAGAAATGTGGAAATGTGGGAGGGTTTTTCCAAATGACAGGATGTATTTCCTCCTGAAACCAACCAATTCCAACACCGACTGAGTGTGCTACAATTTAATTCAGTTTTGGCACTACCCAGAATTAGCACAGATTCTATGGGTTAAGGGAGCGGTTCCACGAGACTACCCCACTTCAGATGCTAACCACAGATAGGGAGCCCGCAAGAGGTGCCCACAATTTCCCTGTCCTTCCAGGTTCGGTGATCCACAGAACTTTATTTGCCCTTATCAGTGGCAGACTTATTTCAAGACACGAGCAGATATCTGAATTCAACCTAATATATCATATTTTTTCATGCACACACATCCTCATGGTAAACTTTAATTTATAAATGAGGCACAGTAAGAGAATAATAGTAATTAATAATAAATTGCAACAAGTGTAACAATATACTAAAGAAAAGTTACATGAATATGGTCTTTCAAAATATTTTATTGTATTTATAATATAACACAAAATGATGCTTACATGACAGTAAATGACATAGCCAGCATGATATAACATTAGGCTACTGTAAATGGTCTACTTGAACACAACCATGGCAATATCATGATATTTCGTATAATAACCAAGACAGCTACTAAATGATATATGGGTAGGCAGGATATACAAGGCAGATACTCTGGACAAAGACATAATTTACTATCTTCTACTTAGAATAGCATGCAATTAAATGTATATTAATTGCTCATTTCCAAATTTTGCACTTAGTATTTTCAGAGTATCATTTACATGGGTAACCAAAATCTTAGAAAGCAAAACCATGGTTTAGTGAAACTACTATATTAATTTATTATAAAAACATAATCTAGAAACGATCAAATGGTAGAGATGCATAAGTTAAGAGATGTAGAAGGGAGAGAGTTGCAGAGTTTTTATTCTCTTTCCTGGCACTTCAATGTGTTCACCAACCCTGAAGCTCCTCAAACCTTATGATTTAGGGTTTTTAATGGAGATTTTATTACATGGGCATTAGTGTAAAATCATTGACCACTGGTGATTAAACTCAGTCTCCAGCCCCTGTCCCCTCCCAAGAAGTTGTGATTTGCAGCTGAAAACTTCTAATTAAGGCTTGATACTTCTGGTGAGCCACTCCCGATTGTTATGGTTTAGATTTTGAAAAAGTTCCCCAAAAGTCTCATGTTTATGCAAACTAATTGTCTCGTGGCAATCTATAGCTGACTTCCTGTTTTGAGGTGGGCCACTGGGACATTACTTGGAAAGCTGTGTTCTTGTCCACTGCTCCTACCTTCTTTCCTGCTTCCTGGCCACTGTAAACATGAGCAGTGTTCCCCTGCTATCCCCTTTGCTGTGCCATTTCTGCCCTGGAGCAACCTGACCTTGGATTTAAATCTCTGTAATCCATGAGCCCTAATAAATCTGTCCTCCTTTAAATTGTGGTTGTCAGTATTGTATCTTGGCAATGGGAAAATGACACACAATCCTGTGGCCACCCATGGGCCTACCAAGTCACTGCTTAGAACAAAGCATATTTCTAGCAACCATATCATCCAGAAAATTGCAAAGATTTTAGTTGCTCCGTTTCAGGAACATTATAGCAAAATGAAAATATTGCTTTGTGGTACCTTAGAAGGTTAAAGTTAGATGGCGGGAAAGCACTAGATGCTTATCTTTAAAATTCTAATGAACCTTGGAGAACAGGAGTTTGTACTGGAATACACAAAACCAACAGGATGTCAAATTACAGAGATTCCAGAATTCACATAGAACATGGGGATAGAAGACATGTTTTGAAATTGTTTATGCTTAGCAAGCTTCCACTTTTGTTTCATATGTGTAGGGAGCGGGGAAGGTTGGTTTGGGATGATAGAGATTCTGAAAAATCGAAGTCCCTATAAATTTCGTTTCACTTTTAAACTGGGCAAGAAGGAGCATGCTGGGTGAATCACAGAGTTGGTCTAATATTCAATTTAGGGTTTGCTTGGCAGCTACATACCTCCTTTCCCCATCTGCTGAATCTTTAAAAAGGAAGCTAACAAACACATACTTTATATGAGTAGCAAGGAAGAGTTGAACCATCTAGGAAGAATGTGAATTCTACCTTTGAGTTGATGTAACAAATAGCAGGCAAGCACTTGTGGATAGGGAGGTGTTTCATCCACTGATTTCATTTAGAGAGCAGAGACTGCCAGGGGCAAACCAGAAAACTAAAGCCTTCTTCCTAAGTGGAAATCGGATGGAGCCCAGGGGAAGGCTTCAAATTTTCACAGGATGTGGTGCAAAAGGGGTATAGGGCTTCGTCTCTGGATTCACCAGACTAGCAGCTATGAAGCTGTCTGCTATCAGGACCTTTAATACTCTTGAAAAATATTGAGGCTCCGAAGAGCCTTGGTGTATATGTGCTATGTCTATTAAAAGTTAATATTTTAGAAATTAAAACCAAGATCTTTAAAGAATTTAATTTGAATTTTCTATTTTAAGCTAGTAATAAACCTATTGCAGGTTGCAGAAAAATGTATTTTTATGAAGAACAGTTATATTTTCCAGAAATTTCTTTTTAAGAAAAGTGGAATTTTTTTTTTTTTTTTTTTTTTTTTTTTACATTTTTGAAAATCTTTGTAATGTCTAGCTTAAGGCAGCTGGAATCCCATAGCTGTTTCTGCATTCAGTTTGTTGTGATACTGCATGTCATTTAACCTCTGGAATGAGAGTGGGAAAAAAGTGTGATGTGAAAAAAGTCAAATAACATCTTAAGATTCTTATGAAAAGAGTTTTGACCTTGCAAACCTCCACTTTGAGAAGTGCTACCCTATACTCTGGGGAATATCTCCATGTCTCTCTCATCTTTGTTTGCTCTTTTGCTTTTCTCTACATGTGGTAAGGCTGGTGAAATACAGGACAGCTGGACTTTGTTCAAACACTGCTTTCCCTCAATTTGCATAGAATTAAAACTATTCCGAATACACAGCTAATTAAAAGACATTGGAGAGTCTTCAAGACCAGCCTTCCTTTGCAATTAACAGTAGTATAAATACAGTTTCCGATCCACTTACCCAAGGAGTCTTGACACTAAGAGAAATTTGAGATGAATTGTTGATTTGTAGGGGGAGCTGGCATCATTTCATTGTCACCAAAATTGAGATTTTTTTTCCCACTGTATAATTTTAAATTTGCATAATTGAGGTTCTTCACTGCCAAGAAATAAAACCCTTAATGACAACTGGTTAGGGGGTTGGGTGGAGAGGCTACAAAAAGTGCTTTGAAGGCAGGTGTTGTGTCTGGGCTCATATCTGTGATCCTCTACAGCCTTTTAGCTCATGGCAAGTAGATATACTATGTAGGGGAATGTAGAATCTTTTCCCTGTGGGGTCTTCAGAGGTAGGAGTACCACCTCTCTTTATTCCTCAAATTGCACCTTGAGCTGGTGAGTGAAAGCTATCTCTGAGGACTGGCACTATTAGGATGTCACACATAGGTCTTTTCCAACCGTGTGAGGAGCTCATTGGTCCCACTGCCTCTGTTCTCCATCTCCAAGGTGGTATGAGTTCTGGGAGAGGACACACGGGAGTGCACCAGGTGCATCTCTCTGAGTGTGGGTCACTGACACGTGTGAGCAAACGCAAAAGTGGTGAAGGCACTAGATGCTCATAAGCAGTGACTTATTAAGAACTGATGAGGACACTCTGCTCCTAAGCAGCTATTATTGCAACACCATTTCTCCTCAGTGTCTAAGTCCATCATGCTTAAATGTCCATTATTTCTCACTCCTCCTGTGTGTGAAGTTCTGCGAGCACCAACAGGTGTAGCATTTGGTACAAGTAGGCCAGAATCTGTTGACAGGGAGAGAATATACTTCCCAAGTAAATGAAGGTCAGCATGTATAATGTGTGTGGCAGGGAGGCTAGGCATCCCTACATGGTGCTAATTTTTCTAGAAAGATGTGACCTTCTCCCTTAAGAGGCTGTTTGAATAGTCTGAGTTTCTGTGCGTTTCAGTCTCAAATGTGCAGGTACATTGAAACCATGTGTAAAGTAGTCCCTCTCCTACTCCTCCAACTCCTAGTTCAGATTTGTATCTTTTTTCTTCCTCTGTTTAAATTAAATTTGGGGGATAATTGTAGATTCACATATACTCGTAAGAAATAGAGACCCTCTTTACTGAATTTCCCAAGTGATAACTTGAAAAAGTATAGTACGGTATCACAATTAGGACTTTCTCAGAAGATTCAGAGGCCTTTGAGACCTTCCTGCCTTCAGAAAGGAGCAACTCTGCTTGGCCTTGGAAGGAAAGTGCACAGGTAAGGAATTAGAGGGTGCAGGCAGCCATCTAAGCTCTGGTTGGAGGTGACAAATGTTGGTGCCCTGCATGTGGACACCTTTGAGATGCAGTGATGTGGTGTCATCCTTACCTCGTCCTGTAGTTTTGGGTAGCTGTGTCCCTTGGCCTATCAGCTGGGTTTCTGTGGATACTATGGTTAAGACACCAGGTCCTGGAATCACGCAGCTGTAGGCTTGATTCCTCGCTCCTTCTATACTAGATGAATGGCCTTAGCTAGTCTCCTTTTGTGGATGCAACTTTTTATAGTAATTTATAGAGCACTGTGCTAGTCAGCTTTCTGTCACTGGAACAAAGACCCCGGATAGTAACTTATTTGGAGAAAAGGTTTACTTTACCTTGCAGTTTTGAGGTTTTCAGTTCACCATCAGATGGCCACAATGTTTTGGGCCTGTGCTGAGGAAACACATCATGGGGTAAGCCCATGGCAGGGAAAAACTTCTCACTTCATGACCAAAGAGCAGAAGAGAAAGAAATAAGAAGGGGCGTCCCCCACTCAGTTCCCCTCCAGGCTACACCCCCAGGGATCTGAAAACTTCCCATACATCTTGCAGCAATAGGGACACAAATCAAACCCAAGGGCTGCATCTTAGAACTACAGCACTGGCAGGAACTTGAGAGATACCAGTCTAATTTCATATGCAGCCCAGAGCCTACCTTGGAAATAGTAGTTCACTTTGAAAAGCTTGGCTACAAGGGACTTATTTCCTACACCAGTAGTTCTCATGTTTGATATGTGCCAATTTCCTGCAGCCACTGTTAAAATGCAGAGCATCGTCCCCTTCCCCACAGGGTCACTGGCTTTGCAGGACCTACACAAGGTCCTAAGATCACATGTGTCTCACAAATCTCCATGGGATCCTGCTGCTGCTGGTGCAGGGCCATATTTTGAGGATAACTGTTCTTAAGACAACTTCTCAGAATGTCTTAGTTCATTTTTTGAATACCTGAGGTTGGGAAGTATACAAAGAAAACATTTTATTTCTTGTTGTTCAGGATTTGGGAGTTCCATAGCATGGTGCTGGCATCTGTGCAGCATCTTGTGGGCCCTCCCACAGCATCATAACGGGGCTGAGGGATCACGTGGTGAGCCAGAGGGCACATGCTATCTCAGGTTTTTTTCTTCTTATAAAGCCTCTAATGCCCTCGGGGAGCCTCACCTTCATGACCTCATCCTAATCACTTTCGACAGGGCCCACCTATAAATATCATGAATGTATTATTATTTTTTGTTGTCTTTTGTTTTTTAGGACAGGATCTCACTATATAGTTCAGGCCACCCTTGAACTTATTACGTAGTCCATGCTGGTTATGAACTTGTAGCAATCCTCCTGCTTCAGCCTCCCATGTGCTGGGATTACGGGCATGTGCCACCATGCCCATCCATGAATTTATTAATTTGTAAATTAAGTTTCTAAGACATGAACTTTTGGGGGACTCATTCAAACCACAACAATGGCAATGGTAGTGGTCATGTTTCTTCCAATTGTGGCTATTTTGGATCTAAGTCAGATTTCTCTAGCAGCTTAGTACCACACATACATTCTTATCTGTCTGATTCAGTGTTCTAAGGTTGTATCTCCAATAGCCTGGCTCTGAATAAAAAAAGAATCCTTTGGGAGAGCAATTCCCCTTTCTAACCTTTCCCAGATAATGCTTGCTTTTGCTTTTCTGATTAAAAACAAAACAACATAAAATCCTCTCATTGTTGAGAATTGAAAATGTACCCTAAAAAGGAGAGATATGGAAATTAAAACTAATCATCATGCCCCTGTTAACATTTTTATGTGTTCTGGTTTATTTGCTGAGTTTATGACTTTCTATATACAGTCAGCAGGTTCTACAACAGTGGATACAATCAGTGACAGATTGAAAATATTTGGGGGCAAAATTGCATCTGTACTGAACACAGACAGACATTTTTCTTCTTCTTCCCTAACCAGTTTAATATTACAACTATTTACACAGCATTTAAATTGTACTGTGTCTTATGCATCATCTAGAGATGATTTAAAGCATACGTGAGAATGTGCATAGGTTACGTTTAACTATGATGCTATTTAAATCAAGGATTAGAATATTTGCAGATTTGGGCATCAGAGGGAGATCCTGAAACTGGGTCCCTGTACATAGTGAGGATACTAGTATTTTAAAATACTGGAATAAAAAAAAAATGTTTGTAAGACTTAGTGCCCTAAAAAGAAAAGCAGAATACTAAGTGTGTGCTGTAAATGGGAGCTGATACTGCATTTATTGTAGAATGAAAAGAAGTAGAACAGAAATAGAAAAGAAGGAACTAAGGTTTGCTAAGGAGAGCTCCCTGGGTGTGGTAGGAAGGCTTTTGAACCAATAGGAAAAACATAGGCACAGAGGTGTGTAGCAGGCCTGGTCATTTGTGGGGTAGAAAGTGACACAGTAGGGGACAAGTCTGAGCTGATACAGTGAGGGCAGGTTAGGGACAGCTGTTACTGGCTGGCTTCTCCTCTGAGGCACTAGGGAGCCACTGTTTCCTGAAGCACGAAATTTATTTAACAGATTTCCCAAAGGTCTACCATGCAGTAGAGGTCAGGATGGCTTGTGGGGCAGGGGTGGCAGTGGAGGCAGAGGAGGAGGGCTGGGCATCCAAGTGGGGAACAGCTCCAGAGACTCACCCAGTCCTCTGTGGACATGTGACATGGCACACATCAGTCTACTTCTGGGCCGCCAGGATGGAGAGGGAGCGGTTGAGCTTTACCATGCCGATAATGAGGAGGCCACCGGTCAGCAGGAAGGTGGGCCAGAAGAGGGAAAAAAGGAGGGCTTGGGGCCCGTAGAGGCGCTGGTATAGAACGCTTGTCTCATTTTCCCGAGTCGTTGAGAAGCAGTAGAAAACCTTTTGCTCGAGGAAATTGGCTCTGACCTTCTCCACGTCAGCCCGGGCCATCTGGTAATTGTCCAGGCTGACTGGGATGTAGGAGCACTGTGGGAGAGAAGCAAGAGCACTCATGGATTGGAAATCTTTGTCTTTGGAGACTGAAAGGCAGGGACCTGGGGTGGAGTAAGACACCTACTGCCCATCCATAGCTGTTGGGAATTTTATTTGTGCACTGTACAATCCTGCAAAGTACATTCAGTGTCAGAGGTGTGGCAGCTGGCCTGGCAGCTGCTTGGTATGCACATGCCATGTGCCCAGATACAAAGTTGGAGCCCAGTTCTGCTTCTGCTGGCTATGAAATTATAGACAAATTGTTTACCCTCTCTGAGTCTTCATAGCTTCATCACTTAAATGGGTTAGAAGCAACATCAAAGGACATTATTAAAGAAGGATTTGCACATAACTGTCTAAAGGAGACCGATGAGTAACACAAACCAAAGGATCAGCGGGTTCTGTATTTGGATTCAGGACAGAAGTCACAGGCTTAATTGCCTACAGGGTTTATGCAGGTAACCTCAGCACGTGAAGCAAGCAAGGCCGTGAAGAGGTGCCAACTGGCTCTGCCTCAGATGAGACAGGATCATCATAGGGCAGTGGCACAGTGAAATGGATGGAGCCATCTGCATGCGGACTGGCTGTCACTGCACCCTCCAAATGGTGGACATGGGGCCATCCAGAAGATCTGTTGTAGTCTATTCGTATATCAAGGGAAGTCAGAAAGCCCAATTTTAATGTGAACTCACAATTTTAAAATGTTGGCAACAAATTCATATTAAACTATTTGAAGTTTAACCCTATGTGAACCAAACAAATATGTTTGTGGGCCAATATTTTGACACTAGGATCTGAAAGAAAGAGAGAATGGGTTGAAAAGAGTTTTGGGCAAGCAGAACATGATACATATTTCATTCTGACCCTGACCACTGTTATTAGGAAGTTTTTGGCTAATTCTAATGAAGTCCTGCTGGAAAGCTCTGCAAAGAAAGCAGGAAGTGGACCTTGGTGTTACGTCTGTTCTATGCTGCGAGGTCGACTGCTACTTGTGTGACCTTCTAGGAAATATTTTGCAAGTGTGGCCCCCACTGGACAAGGCATACTTTGAGGCTGCTCATTAGCACAAGTTCCTACCATCAGAATTGCTGACCATGGGTCCAGGGCCGCGTGCTTCCTTCAGGCACTGAGGTTCAAGGAGCAATTCCCAATGAAACTGTGTCTCAAGATTAACATGTGTAAACTAACCCCAAATGGCACATACTGAGACTACTTCCATCCAGGTCTCAGCGACTCCCTGGATTTGAAGGAGGTCTCCAGTCCCAAAGCTGCCTGCCCTGATGACATTCAGTCCTACAGCACAGAGATATTTGCATTGTGTTTCTAACAGTCTGAGAAATGGGGCAACTTCATTGAGACTCAATCCCCAGGCAGCTGAGGCTGGGGAAAAGCTAGATTTTAGGGAACCTGACATTTAGAACTCAGGCCTACGAGGTGCTCCAGATCATGTCCAGCTCTTCAGCTGAGTGCTAGATGATCTGGCTTGGGTGTCCCTAATGTCTTTGACCATGACGTTGGGTAACTTCATCCATGCAGCAAAGGTGTTGCTATGTAGTGAGACAGGCCTGCATTCAACTACCTACCAGTTCTAAGTTGTGGGACCTTGGCAACTGCCACACCAATGTGCGCCTTATAAAATAGATTTGTGAGGGTGCCTGCCTAGCATAACCATCCTGGAGGTTAAACTGGATGAGTCCTCAAACACGGAAGATACTGTTAGTATCGTTACTAATACTATTATCAATATATTGATACATTTGGAACAAATGCTTCTCTCCTTGATTAAAGAGTGGTCCTTGGATAAAATCTGAAGTAGGAACCCCACTAAATCCTTTGTCTGCTTGGTGTTTCTCCAAGTCCTTTATGCCGTCCTTTGTGACAAGATGCTAGGATCCATCTCAAGGCCACCCACAGAGGCCTGAGGCTACTTGTACCCCCTCACTCCTACCCAAGGTCCAGCCATTCCTAAACCACAGTATTTGGATAATCTGAAATGATGCAGGCTTCTCGCCAAACGCCACATCTTCACCATCATCAGCATGGACATTGGAAGGAATTCAACTTGCCTTGCCTGGAAGGCTTAGAGCAGAACCTGAGAGCAGACGTGGCCCTTGCTCAGAGCAGGAGACAACATGAGGCAGTCTTGCCTGGCCTTTCACACGTTTTCAGAGGACTGCTGCTGACATGGGACTGGCTCCCTGCAATCCTGTGCTGAGTTAAGGTGGAGGGAGCAGCCGGCCACCAGCCAGGATCTTGGTCAAACTATGAAGGGCACTTGCACTGTACCTGCATCCTGTCATTAGCACTAATGCTGGGGGTGCTGGGTGCTATGACTCTGGAGAGAGGACAATGCTGGTCCCAGCCCTTCCTGCCTATACTAGAGGAAAGCTTGTGAAATGCTGCTGCTCAAGCTCATTTGTGAGACAAACTGGACTATGGCTCCCCTGAGCGGCAGCCTCAGTATCAGAAGGCGGGTGCAAGCCAGCATGCCCCAGCCTTCTCATCAAGAAGAATGCACCAGTGTCACATCTGCTTACATTGATAATGTGTCTATTGTTCTTGGGACACTGAATGCCAGAAGGAGGCAAGGACCAGATGGAGGAACCAGTGATAACAGAGCATGTCAGACTCCTGTACACTGCCCAGGGCTGCTTCTTCCTGACTGTTCTGTGCTATTGAGACTGCAGCCTCTACCCCTCTCATGTACCCCACGCACCCAACCCCTTCTCATCCTATCACAAAATTCTGTCATCATCCGTGCTGCTGGTCTGTGTCTCTTTGTCCAGTAACAGAACCCACATGGCTGCTGTCTCTGTCTCCTGGAACTCCTCTGATCACACCCTCAGAGCCAGAAAGGAGGCAGGGACCAGACATAGGAGCTGATTGTTTTAAGCAGGTTATGCCTTCCTGGAGTCAGACTGTGGCTTGCACTGATAACAGAGCATGTCAGACTCAGGGCTTTGGTTGCTCACAGTATTAATGCCCACCTTGAGAATCACTGAGGGAGCTTTATAAACTGACCCATGCCCAGACTTACGGCTTCAGTTGTTCTGGTGCTGGAGTCTGGTTTTATGAAGGACTCCGACAGGAGAGGTCTCATGCATGGTGAGAGCTGAGACAGCCAGGGCCCACAGCCTGACATTTAATGCTGCAGTTGGGTAGGGAAGATCCTTTGCAGACAGCCCTCAGACTGCCCTTGCTGCCTGTTCCAGCTACATGCACCCCATCTCGGCTGTTTTCTGTAATCAGTCTTCCAGTCTTTCCTCTCCCCAGTCTTCGTCTCTACTGTACCTGCTCCAGGGCCCACCTATGAGAGGGATTCTTCCTTGCAGCCCCTATGCATCTAGGAATTTCTTAACTTAAAAAGCATAACCCAGTGCCTTTCTGAGACCTCACCTCACTGCCTGGAGAACAGGCTGTCTTAAACCCAGGCACTCTGTTTTTCTCTGACCCCATCCTTTCCCATTAGGTATTGTCCAGATGTGAATGCTGTCCTCTTGAATCCAGTGCTGATGTGGGGTGTGCTGACTATTGAACAAATGAATGAGAGGAAGGAAGGAAGATAAGAGAAGGAAGAAAAAGAAGGGGGGGGGGAGAGAAGGAGGAAATGGGAAAGGAGGAAGGGAGGTACAGAACTTATAGCCTATTTGACTAAGATGGAAACAGAGGCTCCCAGGGACCAAGTGGCCCATCCCAGTAGCCAATTTAAACCCAGGTTTCTGTCCTGACCTCATGCCAGCAAAAATACTTTCCTCAGGTGAGTTAATCTTTCTCAGCCTTGGAGACCAGATAGAGACAGGCTCACATACCCATCTTCCAGTTCAGTACCTGCTGGTTCTGGTCCCGAGTGTCCTCAGTGTGGTACAATACAGCCCACTTGCCCACAGCCGAAACGTTGACCCAAAGGCATGGATACTGGGGCACCTTCTTGCCCTCCAGCTCCTCCTGGTCCCTGATGTTGGTCTCAATCAGATGACAGGTGGATTCCTGGGTCCACACGCTGGGAAAACCACACATACATGTACACACACACATTTTAGGACTATGTTGACACATGTGGCACCCAGTTTCAGCCCTAGATCTCTGAGAAGCCTTTAGAGAGACCCAGGGCCAGAACCCTCATCTTACTGAAGCATGCAGCACTGAAGATGCATGACCCCAACAGTCTCTGGCACTGGGAAGAATCTTAGGATCAGAATACCAGAGCTGGTCAGGATCTTGGACATCATCTACTTAAGTGGTTCTTGACCCTGGTTACTCACCCTAAAACCCAGAGAAGGTTTAAAAAGATTCACATATCCAAACCACAATGAACCTCTCAGGTAGTTTTATGTTTTTTGTTTTTAAAAGCTCTCCAAAGTGTTTCTTTGTGCAGCCCAGACTGAGACTCTAGTTCATATCATCCTCACCTTGCAGAGGTGGATGAGACTCTCAGGTAGGTCAAGCAACTTTTCTGGAGTCACTCAAGACCTAAGGCTTGGTCTGAGTGGCTTCAGAGTCTCTCCTTTTTCTCCTGAAAAGAGCAGTTGTAGGAGGGGCTTGATTTGCGCAGGGGTGGGGAGACCTGAGGCATGTAGTTTAATCTGGAGCTAATGTGTGGGAGGCTCACAGCTGCTCCGAGCAGTGCCTCAGTTGGGTAAGATTCCAGTGTGGCATCACTCCAGGGTTGTAAAAAGTGAGGAGAGCGCAGCCAGGAGAGGCCCTCAGACTCCTCAAGGCATAATCAAATCAATTGTGATGCATTCCACATTTATCTTACAAAAAACCCATTGCCTAACAGGAGAGGGTGCAGGGAGAAATCATAGGATCAGCTAGAATCCTCCTAAGAACAGGCTGAATCTTGAGTGTGTTTGTTCCAAACAGAACATGAATCAGGAGTTTTTCAGCTCTTCCTTAAAAGCCAGGGCATTGACATGTCAGGGCATATAACATTCTCCCAGACGCCCAGAGTTCCAGAGGAGCAGATAGTGGCTCAAGGTAGATACTTCCCAACATGATATGGTATATTTAAGGAACTAAAAGTTCCCTGTTCTTGAGAAGTTCATCTGGAGGATCAATGCCCACCTAACCAAAATGTTTCAGAAGAGAGAAACCTGTGCAGTTGAGCTGCCCAAGTCTGTGATTATCTGATTCCTCCTAAGATCAAACATGCCCTGAAGGGTTTGTTTGGATCCTTCTTTTAACACCAGTTCCCAAACTGTAGGACTCAGATCCTTCCCAATTGAGACATTTGACTCTCAGAATGAGGATTATTTTCTCCCTCCTGCCTGGGGTGAAAGAGGAAGAGAGGGTTAGGGAGAAAGCTAGAGTTCTTGAGGGTCCCAGAGCCTTAGGGGAGAGCCAGGGGCAGGCAAAGGAGTTCAGTACCTTTTCTGGTAGAGAGGCAGCACAGTTGTGCCCAGGATATAATAGGTGATGACAGCACACACCACCATGGCCACTCCTAGGCAAAGGGCTCGGGTTTCTCCCCGCTTCTGGGCCATCACCAGCTTCTTCCCCATGTCCACTAAGGGCACCAGTCATTGCTAGGGCCACAGAGGCAACAGAATTGAGATTAGCTCAGGTGACAGGTAAACATAGGATGCCGAACAGGTAAAAGGGGAGAGTACTAAAGTGCCAGTGTTGTTCCTGTTTATACAAGGAGTTTTGCAACTTACAGAGGGCTTGTTTTTGAAAATGCCCCACCAAAGCCTCCTACCAGCTTTGAAAGGTGTCATCCTCTCTATTCTGTAGAGGGTAAACTTGTGGCTCAGAGAGGTAAAATGCCATTCCTAACCTAAGATCACACTGCATATGGTAGGCACAGTAATGGCCCCCAAGATGCCCATATTCTAATAGCTGAAACTATAGATGCTACTCTGTATGGCAACAACTTTGCAGAAATGATTAAATGAAGGATATTGAGATGTAGGGATTATCTTGGATTATGCATGTAGACCATAAAGGTAATCACAAAAGTCCTTAAAAGAAAGAGGCAAAGAGAGTTTAGGAACAGAAGAAGAAAAGGTGATGCAACCAAGAAGACAGAGATTACAGTGATGTGGTCAAAAGTCAGCAAGTGTTGACAGCCACCAGAAGCTGGAGGAGCAAGGAACCGTGGGTCTCTGGAGGGAGGGCATGGACCCTTGGTGACTTTGGACTTTTGGCCTTGAGAACTGTGAGATGGTAGATTTCTGTTATTTCAGACCATCAATTTTATGCTCATTTGTTACAGTGACCATAAGACACTAGGGACAAGCCATGTACTTTCTCCTGGATCACTGATCTTCTAGAGAAACTTAGATCATTTCACAGTTCTACACAGAAAGGGTTCCAATGCCAGTCTGGCTGGTTGGGGGCAGTATGCAGAGAAGGGGAAAAAGTCCCCAGAAGGCAGATTACCAGGGATGGTACTCTCTTCCCTAAAAGAGAGACTCTCCTGCATGCCTCAGAGATCCATTTCTTATTTCAGGGATGAAGCTACCTTGGGCAAAAACAGAGTGGAAAGAACTTTCTTTCCCTCCTTCTTGTGGTTACAGCCTTTCATTTTCTTCCTGGGCTACCAAGCAAAGGTTCCATCCTCCCCCTACCCCACTCAGGTCAACTGAACACTCATGAGCATAAATCTGGATGAACTTTCCCAAGAAAGAACCCCTAGTTTGTGCTACTTGAAACCACAAAGCTGCCCTTGCTAAGGTCCCCATGTAGATTTCCCAAGCATTCTTCAAGCTGCCCACTGCCTCTCAGTAAACATTTCTGCAATTATTTTTCATTTACTTAGGGTAACTACAGTGTGTTTCTACCCAAAATACCAGGGGATGGGTTCCATTCTCTATGATCTTCCATTTTAGGAGAGATTTTAGCTAGATATCAGGAAGGACTCTCTTTTCCTTGCCATGTCCCCAAAGTAGCATACACATTCTTTTTATAAATTAGGGCATATCCTGGAGACAGGCATTTGCCCAAAGAGATTTTTAGCAGACGGCTTTATTTTCTTTTTAGGCTTCTCCCCTAACTATCAGACTGTTTTAAATGTCCATTCTGAAGTCCTTGACCCCCTCCCCAGCCCAGCCAGTTCCTCCTTCCCCTGTCCTTAGCAGGAGAGTCCAGGTTAGTCACCATGGGTACAACCCTGTCACCACCTCTTGTGGGCTAGTCCTTCTCCCTTTTGATTGATAGAGATAGCATCCAATAATAATATTTCTTCCCCAATAGCGACATCAAAGTCACAGCAAAATTTTCCTCTGCCAAGGACAGATGTCCGTTCTTTTTCCTTCTGTTTTCTAGCCTTGCTAAGTGGAAAAGCCTCACCGTTTTCTATCTGGTATCAGTTTATCAAGTCCATCCAGGTATTTATGGGTAAAGCATTGTGATCACCTGGATGTGCAGAAGGCCTTAATGGCCTGCTTTTCAGGTAGTTACAATTGTCATTGACATCTGATCCAGGAGCAGTGGGGCATAAATGTCTGAGAAATCACTTCTTGGGAACCTAGGCACAGTGCCCTTAACAAAACTCTTCTCATTAGGGAGGCTGGCTTGCACTTTTTGGGGTCCCTTGTTGGATGGCTCCTTCTAGCTAATCAACCTCCTTCCAGGGGCAGCCTGCTCTGCTGATGGCTTCCTGCATCCTACCAGACTCCTGGGCACTTCTGAGGCTGGTAAAGGCAGGATTTCTGGTCTTATCAGCTCCAAGTGTTCAGGAGGGAAGTAAACAGGAAGCCTCTGGGTCACAGAGCTGGAGGTATCAAGCCTCCAGTCCAGGTCCCACTGTCGGTAATACTGTGATGAGACTGCTGCCTGTGCTGGGGTCATGAGATTAGGGGTCATGGTAAATCTTCCTACACCTATTCTCATGCGTGGAACTCTGTTTAGAAATAAAGAGAAGGTGGAAAATTGAGATTCAGCCTCCACAGCCACAACCTTCTGGAAGGAAGGAACCATGAAAACAACTCTTACTCCTGCAGCCCAGACAGAAAGAAATAGGTCTGATCAATAACAGAAGAAGATTTCAGTTGAGTTCCAAGAACATCCCATATTTGAAAGAGTCTAATATTTCTGAACTTTTGGGATGAGGCATCTTATTTAGAAAGCTCACTCTAGGTCTGGGATGGACTTAGGAAAGATGGAAAAGGGCACAGGAAGAGCCTTGGGTGATCTGATAGTCGAGTTGATGTCCTTTTCCTTAGAAGGAATGAGAACAGAGTACACTGAGTTTGGTGGAGTGCGGGGAAAGGGTGGTCTGAGGTCATCAGACATGGGCTCAAACCCTAGCTTTGCTGCTTAGCAACCATGTAACTGTAAATAGGAATGATGCTACCTGCCTCAAAATCTTATGATGTATTGAATATCATTCATTTATCACTGCAGAAGCCCTTGGCAAATATTATTAACAAAGGAAACCATGGCAGTTGGGAGCAGAAGTGTGAAACTCTCTTGCCAACCCTCTTATTGTCTCATCCCTGCATGGGGTGACTGGTTGCAGGACTGGTCCTTATCTCCAAGCTGTTACTTTCTTGAGGCTGGAACCGGAAGGCCAGAGTACTCAGCTCCCAGAGTGACCGGCCACTGTACCACCTCCAACTGATGACAGCACACAGGCCCAGACACCAGCTGCTTCTCAGCTCCCAATGGGCTGATTATCACCCAAGAGAAGGGAGTTTTCACTGTCCCTTCCTCACTCCACCTCAGATCACTTTCTCCATCCATCTCCCTTCCAGCTCCCAGTCTTGGAAAATGATTTCCCAGCGCTCACAGATACAGTACTTACGGTTCCCTGCTGCCCTGGAGGTCTTCAAAGGGCCGATAGTTTCTTTCTTCCCAGCCTCCTACCCCCACCCCAGAAGAGGCCTCAGAGTTGCAGCAGAAAGTTTGGCCTCCCAGCCGTCTCCAGGGAAGCAGCCTTTGGTCCCCTGTGGGTTGAGCTTCTATGCCCAAACATGGTCAAGTCTGAGCGCACAGCACCAGGACACAAACACAAACTCCTTAGAGTAGGTGTCCAGCCTACAAACAGTGGCCGCTGCTCAGGCCCTGCACCTCCGTTTCCCAGAGTCATGGGGTGACAGGGAGGGGGGCCAGGGGCTGATGTCAAACACCATAGGCAAGTTGACAAACCGGAAAACACCATCCTGGTATATTTAGCAACTTTTTTTTTTTTCACTCAATCTCTCAGGGCTGGCAGAGGCACCAGGAACAGGCAAATGATTTTCCTTTTGTGGCTTAGGAGAGGGAGGAGATGAATCCCTGAGGGGTTGGGCTTCTCTTCAACCCTGGAATACTCAAACTGGAGCAGCTAAACCCTCCTGCTTTTTGCACTTTCAAACTGTGTGACCTGGGGAAGTCATGGTACCTCTCTGGACCTGTTTCTCACATGTGTTATTGGTGTTTAAAAAACTGTCCACAATAGAAATGGTCGAGATTTAAGGAAAGGGAAAGGAATCCACCTTTTAAGGACCAGCCAAGCTGAAGCTAAAAGTAAGGCGTGCTCCACTGCTGCTTCCAGCCAGCCAGGTTTCGGAGCAGCTGGCTTGCTCAGGGATCTCCACAAACTATTAAAATATAATATGGGGTATAGGCAGAGATTTGTGCTTACCAATAGGCAAGAAAGGAGCAGCATTCATAGACAAAAACATGTTTCTAGACTTCCTGTTAAAATTAAAACATTAGCAACAGAAACAAACTCGTCCTTGAGGCCCTCCTAAGCATCGGACGTAATGCTGGAGGTTAGCTTTCTTTACCCTTCTCTTTGCTAGGTGGTCAGAGGAAGAAGCTGAAACAGAGGTTTATAGGCTTTAGGTAACTGGGCAAAAGCCAAATCTAAAGCTGGCCATTCCAGGTGGCAATACTGGTGCTCTCTGCTGACCCAGGGCTGCTCCAAGGCCTTACGTCTTGCCTACATAATGTAGTCTCCAGTCACCTGAAGTTTTCAAGGTCACCCCTGTTGCTTTGGTTCCCAGCTGGTGGGTGCAGCCCAGCCATTGCTGCCAAGTAAACTCTATCCTATAGCTGCTATGAAGCAACATGAAGACCAGGGTAGAAGAGCTGTCATTCAGGCCTCCCTGACACTCTCTGGCAGTTAGCACCTGCTGCCTAACCCCTTCCCAACTGAATGACTACAATAGGAGACTCAACGTCTATTTAATGGGTTTCAGCAAAGGGGGGCATTTTAGGACTTTCCTTAGACCTTGCAGCAAGGCTGGCAATGAAGGACATGGAATCTGGAATTAATCCCCCAGGAGAGTGATTGTCAGGATGGCCTTTGGTCTAATCTGGAACCAGAACAGTCCTTGTGGGACCATGAAGCATTAGTCCTCCCTCCTGCTCCTCTGGGAGAAAGATACACAGTGCCACAGACTGCCATTTTTTAAATCAGTAGTGGGGATCAAACTCACCACCACACCTTTGCAAGGCAGGTGCTTAAACCACTGAGCTAAATTCCTGGAAGACTGCCATTTTGAACTATGACCAAAAGGCAGCTTCCTTATAATTCACTAATATGGTTAGGGAAGGTTACACACTTGGGTTTTATACTAGCATCCTTCCCAAGGATCTTCTCTTGGAAGATGCAGATACTATCTCTTCTGCTGTACCTGTATGAACCACTACCAAAAGACGTTGATGAGCTTTCTCTCTTGCCTGGGTATGTGCCATGAAAACCTAAGTCTTTTGCTGGATGGGAGGTTGTGTGTGGCTTCATGGGGGAAGAAATAATGGTACCATGACAGCAAATATTATACTTTGCATTAGAATAGACACTACAAATTGCCAAGTGCCATCCTTGACATCAGCTTTCAACACCCTTTTCTGTTCATAAGCACTGGTGGCTCACAGTGATCCATTGAGATAGAGCTTTTCTATCCTGAGATGTAGTTTATCCATCTCTAACACAAGTACACCTGGACCTTCTGTGTTTTTTTTAGGAATAAGACACCATCAAAGCTACCCAGCTACCTGTCTGAGCCACTCACACTATTCATGTAATGTAGAGATTGTAATTTCCAAATATGGTAACATAAATGTAAATCACATCTCATAAATTTTTTTTCAAATGCTTCTGTCAAGAGGGGAATTTCTGTCTTTTCTTATACCCTAGATGGAACTCTTTAACTGCTATGACAGGTTCCAGGTGATAGCCCCAGCTCAGATCTCAGCCAGCAATTATTGTAGCATTTTTTATTGTACATGGGAGTTAAGGATCCTGCAGAGTCCCCTGTCTGTAGAGTCTCAGGCAGAGGCCTCATATACCATGGACGAAGACAAGCCATTTCCTCTGGAGTCTCTCTGAAAGCGCAAACCACAAACCTATGATCAGGATAAAAAAATATTTCATGAATTAGGATTTATGTTGAGGTGATTTGTCATGCAGCCACAGTAACTGAAACACAGTGTAAGTGGTCTAAAAGAGGAACCTGTCACTTATTGTTTGTGGAGGTTGGGATAGAGTTTCAACTTGGTTTGTTTTGGCATCTGTCTCAGAGATTGGTAGGGCACAATTCTAGGTGTGTCTAGATGGTTATGGAGGTGTGGTCTTTGGGTCTGTGTCTGGTCCCTTGCTCCTTCTACCTGGTACTCTTTCCTTTCCCTATTTTCAGGCCTCTACAAACTAAGCAACTTTTTCTCCTTATGCCATGATGTCTCTGCCTTGGAGCTAGCCAACCATAGACTGAAACTGTGATCATTAAACCTCTCCTCCGTTAAGTCATGACTATTAGGTATTGTATCTCAATGACAATAAAGCTGACTAATACAAAATATAGGTAGCATAAAAGTGGGGTTGTTGCTGTGACTTTACCTGACTGTATGGGTAGAAGCTGTTATGGCTTATGAATGTTCCCCTAAAGCCTTATGTGTTCAGAGGTTGGACATTTGGAAGGTGATTGGATCATGAAGGTGCTATACTTACTGGTAGAATAATCCATTGATAAATCCAAACTAAGTGCCGTTAGGAGGTGAGACTTGGTGGCAGTCAGTTCACTGTGGACATAACCTGGAAAGGAGTATCTCCTTCTCCAAATTTCCCCTTTACTCTTCTTCTTGTCTGCCATGAAGTAAGTAGCTTTCCCATGTTCTAGGCCCTTCCACCATGCTACTTTAGCCTTGGAGCTGGCTGACTGTGGCCTGCAGTATGGCCAAAATAAACCTCCACTCCTTTAAATTATGGTTGTCAAATAATGTGACCCAATACCTCAGAAGACTGATGGTTATTCTGATCAAAGATCAGAAGATCAGAATGCTGATAGGAATGCAGAGGGTAAAGTCTAGGCCTAGAAGGCTTCAGCTGGGAATCAGAACCCCCTTAACAGCGGGCCTAGCAGCCATGTCTGTTACCCTCTACCTGAAAATTTATCTACACTTTGTCCATGTTCTGATACTTTGTGGGAATAATTATTCTGGGGGAGGAAATTCAGAGCAGTCTAAAACTCAGGCAGTGACATGAGTACTGCAGGCTGCTTTTAGTCAGATTCATAGAGAACTGAGAGAAAAAAGCAGCACAAGAAAGTTTGAAAAACTTGAATTTTGGCCCAGAAGGAGCCATTCATAAAACTGGGGTCAAGGGAGGTACAGCTGCTGAGAAGATTAGCACCATTAGAAAGAAACCAAGCACTGCTGGTTGTGGTGGCACACACCTGTAATCCCAGCACTCCAGTGACTGAGGCAGAATAATCAACAGAGGTTCAAGGCTAACTGAGTTCAAGATCAGCCTGGGCTACATAGTGTACAAGACCACCATGAACTACAAACTATATAACAAAACTCTCTCTCAAAAAAAATCAAAAACCAAAAAACAAGTCCTTTGTTCATGGACAAGAAGAAAGGTGCTTTGAGGGCATGTCGGGAATCAGAAAGGCCCTACCTATCACAGATTTAAGGGTGCAGAAGCGTTAAGTGTTCTGTTGAGAAGAGAGTCCATGTGACCGCCATTGAGAAGGGCCTTCTAGAATCCATTTCATCATGCTTGGCCATTTCAAACATTCAAAGTCCAATACAGCCATGATCCAAAGGGGACTTGCTACTGCTTTTATTGACTGCAGACCTTAGCATTGTCCATATAATGCTAGTTTTACTGGCATGTACAATGCAAGATTTATGGAGTCAGGGAAGATTCCACCCAAATTTGAGAGAAAGCCCTAGAAGACCAAGCAAGGAGCTCAAGAGGGAAGTACGTAAAACTATAAGACTGAAAGTGCAGTGGAGACCTCATAAAGTTGGAAATGCCAGGAAATGGAATTTCTGCTGAGAAAACCTGCAGGATGTAAGCAGAGCCATCCCAAGAGAGTGGCCATTAGACTGTAACCAGTAAAGCCATAAGGATGAGGCTATCCAAGTCCATCAGGACTCACATCTTACCATCGTGTGCCCTGGATGCCAGATACAGAGCTATAAGACATAATCTTTACTAGCTTTGGGTCCTGTTTGGCTCTATTTTTTTCTATTTTCCCTTTTGGAATGGGAATGTTTTCCCTGTATCATCGTACCTTGGGATTATGTAATGTGCTTTTGATTTTTACAGAACTTTACAGCTAAGAGCTTTCCTTGAGTCTCAGAAGAGACTTGAATTCTTGGATTTTATAGCTGCTGAATCTATTGTGACATCAGGGAAGAGATTATTGTGTTTCTGACTGTATGCAAAGTAGTTGTGTTATGTTTGGCAGACTCAGGGACTTGCAGTTATTTTCCTTGCAGATTATGTATGGTTTAGGGAGATGGGTTTGGGTAGCAAGTTGAAAAAGGGTAGAATGTAGCAGTTATGGTGGAGTTTCAACTTAATTGGCTTTGGCATCTGCTCCAGAGATTGGTGGAGTGTACTTCTAGGTGTATGTGGGGATCTGTGAGGGCATGACCTTGGGGTTTGTGTCTGGTCCCTTGTCCCTACTGTTCTTGCACTCTTTCCTCTCTTTTGCTTCCAAGTCTCCATGAACTAAGCAACATTGCACTCCATGCCTTTCTTCCATGATGTCTGTGCCTTGAAGCCAGCTGATCATGGATTGAAACCATAAGCAAATTAGTCCTCTCATCCAT